ACAGGCCCTAAGTCGTATATCTTTATAATATAATTGACTTAATATAACATTTTCATTATCCTAAGACCAAAAAAAAGTTATATAACTTGACCCAAAAGAGAATTCTTGATCTGCCAGTATGCGGTTTAAAACAAGGAAAGAGGGGTCTGGTCGATAACACGATAATTGGTTGATTTGGCTCCAATAAGACATACATTCCAATTCCCATCTAACTCTTCATAAGACCATTGACCTATCGAAGTGATGAGGTTTACATTAGTTAATTATATATATATAAAAGGGGGAGGTAGACCTGACACCTGAGTGAAAGGTCTAAGGAATTTAATGATACTTTACTACAACCACTACTAGGCGTTTTATTTGCAGTAAGTTGTAAGTGCAACCGCTGTACAGTACATCCCATATAGGAATAATAATGGGTGATTCCGGGTGGGATCATATTTCCTAGGGGTTGGTTCCTTTATATAGGCTTTGTTTGGCATGGGCTTCATGCGCTGCATCGGAGATTTCCAGGAGGTCGCCTAATCGGTCCGAGACCCCCAGAGGTAACTGCCACGCACGTTGACCATCCTTTGGAACACTTGGTATGTGGGTCATCTTCCAAGAAACTTGGGAGTGTCGAGATATGCATACCAAATTTATCGGCGAGCACAACTCGTAGATCACCTCCTGGACCTCAATCAGGTCGGCAAGCCCTCGAAGGTGTCCATGTGTCATCCAGCTCTTCCAAGATGCCATGTGTCACAATATGACTGGAGGGCCAAATCCGCCCTCATCAATTGTTCCCCACTCCCAAGCTGAGAGTAGCTCGGCAAAGGGAATAGATTGTTCATTTTGGTCTGGAATGACTATTTGATAAGTTCGTAGTCGTAAGCGTCGATCAAATTTGCTTCTCAGGTTGGAAGAGTTCGAGTGTTTGCAGCCTTAAGCAGGACCTCGTCGTCTTGATCTTCAGGGCACAAGAGCGAATTCATCTGCTCAAGGAGAGGTGGAGCAGGTACCCCGAGGACATCTACCTTATTAGGGATGTGACCATCAATGGGTTCTACAATCTGACTAAGTACCTCAAGAGCAAAGCTCATCATGCCATCCTCAAGAAGGGGTTCTAACTGCGTGATTGCTTTATTAGGTCGCTCCACCTAGGTAGACTTCGACGTAGTGTCACACGGACTGGTTCTCAAAAGAGTAGCCAGTGAGTTCGACGTGAAGCCTGAAACCGAAGTGAAGAGATCGACCAAGTTTGCATCCGTCATGATGCTGAAAGCGAACTAGTCTTTCCTTTGTTCTCTTTCTCGTGCTGAATGTGAACTATTTTTTATTTCACCCATGCAAAAGAAGCAACTGAGTCTTATGTGGTGCCGAGGTCTTTTACTAGCTTGACACCCTAGCCCTTAGGCTCTGGGAATAACTCGCGGTCCATTCTCCTTAATATTATTTAGCCGATGTGTGGCCTGACTAGTTCGCTTAAGCGGGTGGCCATTTTGTTGTACCCTTAGATGTGGCTACTTCTACATCGTCACTTGAGATTGGCTTCCTCGGGAAGGTGCTTGCAAGATCATGGTGTACTGCTCTTGGAACTACTGACTATCTGCTTCTATTGGAGTCATGGGAGGCTCACCCTGAGGGGGCAGGCTGTCTATGAGTCGCCTACTCTCACGAGAACCATAAAGGGCTTGACCTATGAGGGCAGTTCCACTTTCAACTCGCTTCCAACTCTCAGAGGGCCATAAAAGCTCGACTTGTAGTGAGGCTTCGCAATTCGGGCTGGAGGTAGTTTGGGTCAGATGATAAGTTGATGTCGTGTTTGCACTACATCTACCCTCGAAGACACTGGTCGTCAACTCCTATGAGAAGCCACAGGGAGCTCGACCTACGGGAGCAACTCGACTAGATGTAGGTTACCAACTCGTGCGAGAGCCTTGAAAGGTTCGACTAGCAAGGGCATCCGCACAGTCTATAAGCCGCTAACTCCAGCAGGAGCCACGAAGGGTTCAATCTGTAGGGGAGACCTCGCGAAGAAGGTTAACAAGGATCGTCCAAGCTGAAATGAGGTTGGCAGAGCTGCTTAATTGGTTGGCCATCAACTCCTACGGGAACCATGAATAGCTCAACCTGCAGGGGCGGTCTTACTCCAAGGTGCTTATCACCAGACTACTGGTTATTGAGGTCATTCTGCTGCTGATTGCTCGAATGCACCAAGCTTCTTGATTGTCATGGAGGAGGGTTCTCATGTTCTTGCCCCCCCCCAATAATTGGTTATTTGTTCTCGATGTTGGTGCTACTTAAAAATGCCCTTGTGTTCGTAAATAATGGAAATTAGAGAGTGAGAACTTAAATTTTTAAAAGGTGAGATCTTAGCTTTCTGGAAGAAGAGGACTTGGCCTTTTAGAAGATGAGAACTTAGCTTCTTGTAGCATTTCCCACAAACGACATCAATTGATGAAGCAATTTTTGGCAGCACCCTGTTGTTCTGACTACTTCCTGGTGTCTAATGACTCAGAGGTCGAGCTGGAGTATTTCTACTAGATAAATGCTTGGATGCCGAACTGACTGGATTGAATTAAGAGGCTTCTCGGGTGCCGAGCTGGGTAGCTCTTCGAAGAGACCTGCAAGGAAACGGTGTCCAAGGACCCAGGGTGGCTAACCCGGCGAGGTCGCTCCGATGCTTAAGTCAGTACTCTCGTAGTAGATTGCGTGCTAAAAATCAGAAAGTATGAGAGCTAGAATGTACTTAATCGCGTGTACCTTCTCGTGTCATTGGGGTTGGTGCCTTTATATAGGCTTTGTTTGGCGTGGACTTCGCGCACTGCATCCGAGATTTCTGGGAGGTCACCTAAACGGTCTGAAATCCCTAAAGGTAACCGCCACGTATGTTGACCATCCTCCAGAACACTTGGTACGTGGGCCATCTTCCAAGAAACTTAGGAGTGTCGGGATATGCATACCGAATTTGTTGGCGAGCACAACTCGCAGGTCGCCTCCTGAGCCTCAGTCAGGTCGGCAAGCCCCTGAGGGAGGTCGCTCCTCCGTTGAGGTCACATCGGCCAATGACGATGTGCTAAAGGTCGGCCTTAGACAAGGTGCTCCTAGCCGGCATAAGTTGTGGTCAAAGTCGCTAGGTCGGAGTGAAGACGAACTGTGATCTGAGACTCCAAATCATAACTTAGGTGGTGTCCATGTGTCATCCAGCTGTTCCAAGATGTCATGTATCATGATGTGACTGGAGGGCCAAATCCGCCCTCATCAAGAACAAAAAGGACGATGGTCACCATTTGAGACTTCTGGCAGCGATTGTTTGATTGGTGGCAAGTATACCGGTCGCTTATCTATTTCCTATGAAAGAACACATTCAACACAGAAGTTTGTTAAAAAGTAGCAGGCTGCCCTTTACAGATTCTGCCCTTTACCATAAGCAAAAAACTCTACCCCCTCCTTTACCACATCTAACCAAATTCTTTACAGATTGCAAAGAACAGTAGTCGCTGCTATCTAACAAAACCAGATAGCAGCAATGACGACAGTGGAAGAGGCAACTATAACAGAATACTGTTTTCACTGTAAGAAAATACTTGGTCTGTAAAGAGGCAAAACTGTTTGTGCATTCCATTAACTTGTTGGATAGAGCAATGACAGTGGAAGAAACCTCAAGTGTATGTGAACTGGAACAAAAAAAGAAGATGACGGCTTCACAAAAAACAGAGTATGTGAACTCGAAAAAAAAAATAGGATGGGGACTTCACTCCCTATTAATACCCGTCTCTGTGCCCGTTTAATGTCCTAAAGTTTAATTTTCAGAAAAGAAAGCTGCTCAGCTCATATCCTCTTGATTATTAACATGGATTTAGAAAAAAAGAAAAAAAAGGGTTTGATTTTTTAGAATCAAAGATGACGGCTTTTGTAAATTATAACAAGCACGAGCAGCTTATTGAAAATAATTTAGAAAAGGGATATGTGGTTTTGGAAAAGTCCAAAGAATAAAATGGACCAGTTTCCCGTCCTCTTCTTTCTCCCTACCTAAATTGAGCAATTCTAGAGGTAGAGGGGTATAAGATTCCCTCTATAAGCATTAGGAATTGCCACCTAACATGGTTTATCTCCTTTTTTTCTTCTCATTTTTAGTATGAAACTAACTATCCCCCACTTTCTCCTAAATTATCTCTATTTCTCTCTAATTCCTATTTATCTCCTAAATTTTCTCTAATTCCTATTTATCCTCTCCTCTACTTTTATCAATATCTATATAAAGAAAGTTTCAATTAAAATATTTAATAATTACTTAAATATTATAATGAAATTATGTTAATAACTTTACAATATTTATTAAAAACATAAAAAATAATTATAATATGTTTAATAATATTCAAATTATTAACAATTTTATATTTTTACGAATTTTAAAAATGAAATTATGTAATTACAATATAAATTACAATTTTATGGATTATTCAATTAATTTAATAACTAACTAATATTTTAAAAATTATAAATAAATATTATTAAATAAAAAATATCTAAATAATTATGTAACTAAATATTTAAAATTACATTATAACTTTAAAGATATAAAATTTAAATAACAAAAAATATTAAATATTTTACATATTATTTAAATCTTTAAATAATGGAATATTTAACATAGCTAAATAAATACCCCCAAATTCTCATAATCCTATTTATAAAATATCCATAAATTAGATTATTTTTAGGTGATTGTCTCGGGGTAGAGAAAATTTGGAGACTCCCTATCTCCAATAAAGAATGAGTGCCTTACCTCGAACCTATTCCACCATGAGAAATGGACGGGAATGGGATGGAGTGTCTTGACTAGAGGCGAGTTAGAAGGAGAATTGCCCTATTCCGTACACCGCACGGGCCCGCTAGTTAAAAAGAGAGAGAGAGATTGACTGGCTTAAATCAATTGCGTGTTTCTTTAATCTTATGTTCGTTGAAAAATAAGCCGTTTGCCCGTTTCCGCGATCGGGACATTGCCGGGGTTTCCTAAGAATGCACTTTGCTTCACTCCGATATCACAACAAGCAAGACAGAAAAGCATGTGTAAATAACTGGAGAGAGTAGGGGCACAAATTGAAATTGGTCCACATCGTTCTCTGCGCCAGCCGCCAGGGACTAAACTGCACCTTCTTCCGTTCTTCGCGAGTCGTGTAGAGTCGCTGGACCTCGGTGGGACCAGACTTGTGGAGGGAATTGGGAACTGGGAAGTGATGGATTCGATTGTATCAACTTTGACGTAATATATCAATAGCAGCAAGTTATTAGCAACAAAGGAAAGAGCTCGCCTCGTTTCGTGTCGTGGACTTACAATCTAAAACCCCATCCCCATTTTCAGTCTTTTCTTTCTTCCTCCTCGTCATCGGTAACTAACGAACTAAACCAACCCGTGAACAACAGACCAACAGTTCGAATCCTTTCCCCTGATTCGGGATTCCTCTTTAAAAAGAATGGCATCTCGGGAGTTGCAGTTGCATAGCCGTTCCGAAACAGCTCAACCACCAGAACCCGAAACATCACGCCACGAATCAAATATTGCGAAGAAGAAGAAGAAGAACAGGACTAAGAAGAAGTCTTATTTACCGAGAATGGGTTGTTTCAGATCAGAACACCATTTGAACGGCGGTCCGAGTTCGGTCGCCGAGTCCGGTGATAGCGGAGATCATCGCTTTCCAACTCACCTTGTCGTCATGGTTAATGGCATCATAGGGAGGTTTGTTACTTTGTTTCCTTGCTCTGGTTTTACTATGACTCAGTTTCTTTGCATTTCTGAAATGCTATTTTTGGTCGATAAATGCTACTGCGCTGGTACACGTTTGATGCCTGTGCATTGCACTGAATTCAATTTAATCTTGTTTAAAATGAGTATTAGAGGTGTTTCTCTTCCTTTGATCTCGAATTTCGAAGATAGCTGCTAAACTGCTAATTTCAACAATTTACTTTTGTCTGAACGTGTGCCAATGCATTGGCATGTTTCCTCTTATTCAAGAATCGCATACTCTATTTAAATGGTTTTGTTTGAATAAAAGAAGGTTCTCTGTTGTGAATCGGGTCCAAGGTTTTGGGTGGGAATGGAAATATTAGGAGTTAGGACTTGAGCTGCAGTGTCGGAGCTGTTAACTTTGTTACAAGTTTGGTATTTCCATATGACTCTAAGATCAGTTGAGAAGAAAGAGGCTCTGCTTATAGTATAGAATGTGGAACAAAGGTTCTAAGATCAGTTGGGCTGCAGTGTCGCTCCATTTTTTTCAACATTAAATAAGGGGATATTTTTGAATGCTGAAATCTTTGAGCTATATGTTTTTACCCCCTTACGATGATGACTTTTTTCTTCTTGCCATTTACACCAAAACAAATTAGGAGTCGAAAACAAAGTTTTCACTGTAAAGGGGTAGAATTAATAGCTGAAATATTTCCGTCTGGAAAGTTCTGCATCCATTTTATAGGGAAACAAACACAATCTATGGAAGTAAGGAGCATCACATGATTGCATACATCAATAATTGGTTTAGGTGATCTAGCTGCATAGTATTAGTTGTCTGAACTTTAAAAACAATTATCCTTCCGATGAGGGTGGATGCGACCAGTGGCGGAGCCAGAAATTCTTTCGGGGGAGGGGGGCAAATTAAATAAGAAAATGAAATAGGGAGTTGAAGAGGTAGGATTTTGAAAGATATGGGACAGGAAGGTTTGGATTTATTACAGATCCTTTTAAAAGGAAAAATATATATTTTTTTTAATTTTGGGAGTTCGAGGAGTGTTAGAGAGTGATCTTAACATTTCAGTTCAAGTGTGTGTGTGTGTGTGGGGTGGGGGGGAAGGACCCACTTTACTACGTTTTTAACCCCTACGCTTGGCTCTGCCCCAGGATGCGACTAGGGGTGCAACTTGGGCGGGCTTAACCCGAACTCGGCCAGGCCCAACTTGATTTTTTCACGGGTTGGGCCTGGACTTGAAAAGGCGGGTTTTTATATTTTTTGGGTTGGGCTCGGGTTGAGGTCTTGGGTAACCCGACCCCAACCCGATATGTTATATATGTACATTTATAAATTATAATATATATGTATATATAGTTGAATCGTATGTTAATGACTAAATGGTAATTGTTTAATTAGTAAATTACTAATTTAGTATTAGGTGTCATGTGCCAATGCCATTACTCATTAATTACTAATTAGTTTTTTTTTCTAAACATCAATTTTCCTCTTTGTGTCTTTGACGTTTCAACTTCTTTTAATTCAAATGGCATTATGGCAACATGAATTAAGGAAACCCAAAAGTCAATGTGAAAACCTCTTAACCAATCCAAGTTTGGCCTGGCCCAGGCCCAACCCAAGTGCCTGAAATTTTAGTGTGGGCTGGGCTTGGGTTGGATAATTCGGGCTTGACCTCGGGCTCGGGCTTTAGGTCCAATTCTTAGGGTTGGGCCTGGGTTGAGCTAAAACCCAGCCCAGCCCGCTCGACTTGCACCCCTAGATGCGACCCCCTGTAAGGCTGTAAGGCTCGAACACGTAGCAGCTATTGAGGCTCTTGCATCCTTGATTGCGAGACCCCACCTTGGAGGACCAACACCACCTCATAGTCGTGAGAGTAGAAATCACTGATTGTAGATTTAGTTGAATTTATTGTGAAAGGAAAAGGGGAGGAAGATAAAGATTTCAGTAGTAGAGAAGAAAATAAAGGGAGAAAAGAGTAGGAAGTCAACCAGGATTCTTGAATTAACCCTAGCTGCCAACCCCTCATTATATTTATACTTAACTTAAAGGATGAGATATTACAAGGATGCCCTTAGTAGGGCGGCTACTAATGTAGCTGAACAATCACAACTTAAAAACACAAACTAATGGGCCTAAAGCCCAACAACTTCCTAACTAAATAGCTTAAAATAAGAATAAAAAACTAGGCCCAACTCAACAGTGAGGTTCACCTCGGTGAAACAGGGACTACCTTGCCTCGTGCAACTCGCCAATGACGAGCAACCTAACAAGCTACTCCAACTAGACCAACGTGTCATGGTCTAACACAAGCTTAGCCTTGCCTACGCTTGGCGGGCTTACGTTAAGGGACACAATCGTCATTTTCACCTGTAAGATTTTTGGAAGAAGTGATGTCATCTTCAGGTAGACCTCTAAAAGCTTAACGTACTCTTTGAGGAGGGGTGGTCCTTGGGTGCCTGACCTTGGCACTCTTAGACCAACATCCCTTGCGGGGCGGCCTTGGTTAATGGCTAGCATGGCTAC